TGCGCGGTTTCGCGGGAGCGCATTTATATTCAAATTTCAAAACAACACAGCAATTTCACAGGCGACTTTTCTAGTTTTATAAATACTTATTTCGGAAAAATGCCGTACTGCATGGTTCCTGGTTGCACAAATTGTTCAAAGAAGACAAAAGGGAGTGATATATCGTATCATCGTTTACCAAATGATCAGCAAATGCGAAGAACATGGCTCAGTCGTGTTCGTCGTGACAACCTGCCGAAAGCTAATTCGTGCTATGTTTGCAGCGCTCATTTTACCCCAGATTGTTTCGAGGGTTCTCTTAAAGAATTATTTGGCATGAAAGGGGAAAAGGTTCTAAAATCTGGAAGTGTTCCATCGATATTTCCGTTTTTACATCGCAAACCAGAACGCGAATTATCATATAAGAGGGCACAAATCAGAGAGAAAATTGCGAAAGACGAGGTAATTTCTATTACTGTAGAAGTGTATTTTTCTGTGTGAACAGACTAGATTGCGAAATCTATAAAGGTTATGGTAGGGGATGGCAATTACTAATTTACTGTACATTCTCTATTATGGACGCCAGAGCTTTACTTTTCAGGTCTGTTGGATGGGGGAGGGGGGTAGTCCCAAGGCGGGCTCAATAGAATAGGGTTATAGCTTAATATGAAACCACAGAAAAGCAACATTATTAGCGTCCGGGGTAAATTATTTATCTAGTCATTAACATGAATTCAGGGGGGGAATAGAGGATTTACGGTTTGATCCATAAGTACTTTAATAATGAATTAAAATGGTCCACCGGGTAGCCACGTTTTTGGACTATTTTAATTCAAAAGTGGCAAAAAACGTGGATTTCTTTGCAGGAAGTAGCAAGCCTACTAACAATAAACAGCGAAGAGCATGAAATGGGCAATACATGTATTGAACAAGAACTGCCAAGTACGTCAAGTCACGATGCAGAAACACAGTGTGATTTGAAGATTTTGTTGGATGCAGAGGTCCAGTGTGAAAAAATATTAAAACGGAGTATTGCTATACAAACTCTTGCCCAACGTAAAAATAAATCTAAAAATAAAAAAAAATCTTCTACTGTTCGCAATATAAATAACAGTTGTCCAGTTCCTACTCCTCCTTCAACACCGATGGAAACAAAAGGACAAAATTCATCCACTATCCGTGCTCTATATTGTAATGATCCTGTTGTCACCTCCCCTTCAACATCAGTTGTCAGGAAAGAAACGGACACAAACATGACACTATCTGATTTTGAACAGATTGTGAACATTTGCAGTAGTAGTGAGGATGACACATCAGATAGTGATGTCACATCAGATAGTGACGACGATTATATTTGCTCAGAATTAGACACCAGTGATGAGTCTGACGAGGAAGAACTAAAAAATGAAAGAAAATTTATTGTGTTTGAAAGTATGCTTGATCAGCTATTTATCAACTGTAACGCGTGTGGTTCTCTATGTGAGATTGAAAAGTCCAACACTGGTAGCATGGTAGTAATCAAAGCAACATGTTGTAACAACCATACCTTTCACTGGAGATCACAACCAGAGATAGATAACAAGCCAGCTGGTAACATTTTAATTCCTGCTGCAACTGTCATTACTGGGGGATCCTATGAATCTATGAAACAATTTTTTAATGCACTTAATTTAAACTTTGTTAATAAAGACCAGTTTTACGATGTGCAGGATAAGATTGTTTTCCCAGTTATCAACAATGCCTATGAAAAACAACGGAAGGATGTAATTGAAACAATCAAAAAGGAGAATACTGCAGTCAACTTATGCGGTGATGGTCGATCTGATAGTCCTGGTCATAGTGCTAAATATGGTACATACACTTTGATGGACGAAGATTCAGGGAAGATTATAGATTTCTCCCTTGTGCAAGTCTCGGAAGTTTCTTCCTCTAATGCAATGGCGAATGAAGGCTGTCAAAGGTCACTCAACAAACTTATTGACCAAAATGTCCATATAAGATCTTTGTCAACTGATCGTCATACCCAGATCACATCAGAGATGAGGAAGAAATACCCCTCCATAATCCATCAGTATGACGTGTGGCATCTGTCGAAGTGGATTAAAAAAAAATTGGGGAAGAAAGCTAAGACAAAGATCAATGAATCGCTTCTTAAATGGATCCAATCTGTGTCCAATCATCTGTGGTGTTGTTCACAGACTTGTGGTGGTGATGCTGAAGTTTGACGTGCTGAAGTTTTACGTTATCATGTGGTCAACAAACACAGATGGAAGAATGGCAAGCGATTTCGAAAGTGTGGACATGGGCGTCTCTCTAGAAGAAAGGAAAGGAAGACAAAATGGTTAGAGGATGGGTCTGCAGCATACGTAGCACTAGAACGGGTGGTTCTCAATAAAAAACTTTTAAAAGATATTGAAAAACTCACAGAATTTCATCATACCGGCGACCTTGAAGTCTACCATTCACTAATGTTGAAGTACATTCCCAAACGTCGTCATTTTTCATACAAAGGCATGTTGGCCAGAACCCAATTGGCAGTGATTGACCACAATTCCAACACTGGAAGGAAGCAAGCAACAGTTACAAAGGGAAGCAAGAAAGGGGAAAAGAGGTACAAGGTAATTTTCCCGAAAGGCAGAAAGAGATGGGTTGCAAAACCAGTTAAGGCCAGTAAGTCCTTTTCCTTTATCCAAAACTTGATGGAAGATGTTTTTTCCTTCAAGTATGACAAGAAAAAACCCTATACTTCAACGATGCTTGCCAATACTCCAAAGAACATTGCACCCACACCAAGGCCATGCAAAGAAGAGATTATAACAGCACACAGATCACGAATGGGAAAGAAACCATAAGCTGTTTCCTGAAGTGTGTTGAAATGAGTAGGTGAACCCAGTGGTGGACACTGGCGGGGGGGGGAACCTTTAAATGATACGTGAATAACAGTGTAAGAAAGCTATAACTTACAACAATTTTCCAACCATGGAAAAATTTATCACTACATACAGTATTGCATGAAATTTAGGGCAAGAAAGTTGAAAGAACTAAGACTTCCGGCTACTAAATGTGGTCATATGTTGTAACTTAATTCCCCCCCCCCATTTTTCCCAAAGTGTCCGTCACTGGGTCGAGCCGCAATGTCCTACTTTCTTATTTTACTCTGTCTACTGTTATGCCAATTTACACATCACAGAGAAGTGTAGGAGAAGCATTAATGTATTAAGCAGACTATATGCATATTCTCTTGTAAACCCATTTAGCTGGCATGTGCTCTACTTTGTTATTTTACTTTGTCTAATACAAGGAAATTTTACTAAATGGGGAGCATTGGGTGTCAATGGGTTAACCAGACTTCCTGCTGATGTCTCTGGTGAACCCATTTAGCCATAATAGTTAACATTATAAGGAGAATTGTTGGGAACTGTGATTGTTCTAATAAACTAGATTGATTATCTAGACCCAATGAGTCCCAATGCCTAAAATAAGGAGACAACTAATTGGATAAAGTTTCCCGAAGAATGAAGCAGACTTTTTGTTCTGAAATAGTTAAAACAATAACACTTTTAAATGGAGGGGAACAAAATAGTTGTAAATATTACATAATGTACTATACTGTAAATAATTGTAATTAGAAAATATTACTTGACAAAACAAAATAAGCAGATTACTGTAGGTTGAAAATAATGTTAATAATATAGTTAGCCAAATAGCAATATTTATACAACAATATATGGAAAGTAAGAAATGAAAACCCCTATCATATATTTAATTACTCATCTGCAAATTTAAAACCCTCAAAAACAAAGTCCTCTTCTAAACCTGGTTGTGGGAAGAGTGCTCGAATACAACTAACTGCACAAGATGGCAAGGGGACCCTTATCTCTTTGCCTAATATATCCCAACACCACCGAACAAACTGCCTGTAAGCAACATGTCTTCGTTTTTTGTGCTCAGGTCCTTCATGTCCTTAATGTTGTCTATAATCGCTCCAAGCAACTCGCAAGACCCAATAATTCAGACATAAATACTGAAATGCAGGGTTATCAGTAATACATTCTGGGACGGGTATCTCCTCAATTTGTGCTGCTTCTTGGTTTATAGAAACACAAGCTGGGATCTCGTGGCAGCAAATACTTTCCTCTTCCCTATCCTTTATTTGGCAGTGAGTACAAAGGCACCTACATGTATAAAGTCAAGTTCCAATTTAATCATAAGTTAATTTGGGCTAAACCAAGTTAATTTGGGCCAAAGGCCCAAAGCATAGCAGTTGATTTTCAGTCATGTTTGATTCATTGAAAACTATAATAATTATAAGTACAAACATAATAATGTATAATAATGCCGCCCATAATAATGTACAAACAATTAAAGCACTAATAACCCTAGTTGGGCATGTTGCTGAAAAAGCTTAACCTACATAATTATCTACAACATAAATAATAGAAGCAAATTTAGTAAATAATTACCAGTTCGTGTCCTGAAGTCTGGTGGTTTTGTCAGAACTTGACGAAGATTCCGAAGCCATTTCTTCCGAGTCTTCATGGTCACCGCTCGAGTCTGTTTCAACCGGTTCAAACGCGTAAGGTTGAATCATGTTTACGTCTCTTTCGACGTTCATATCTTCGCTATAACTCGATCCACTGCTTCCAGAACCATCGCTCGAAGATTCGCTTGAGTAATCAATATCCATTTCTCTTGATACAGTATTTCTCTTAAATTTATAAATACTATTTCGTCTTTGTTTACATGTATATCAGAAAATTAAAGTACTAAAGCCTGTCTGCCGTGGAAAACCAACCGCGCAATGACGTCACAAGGTAAAACCGCTGAGTGATCGCAGCTTCGCTTTGATGTACAAAATGGCGGCTGCGTTATATGTAAATTTTAGCACATTTATCGCTTTATTTCTTGACTTGGTTATAACTTGGACATGTGGGACTTTGTGTGAGAGGTAAGCATTATATGATCTTTTATATCAGCCTAAGTTGTTCTGAACTCTGACTTCCCCTTTAACACATTAACCGCCAGTGTTCTCTCCTTGATGAGTAAAATTGCTAGCGTTAGATAGCCAGAGTAAAATAATAAATACTCAGTGCGCATCAGGGCGCAATGCGACTCAATGGGTTATTAACATCAACAATGTTTCAAATGTCAAATCTGCCATGCTCAATATAATCATAGATTCGACTATTAATTTGACATGTAAGTCAGATGTCCTGTATACAACAACATCAATATACAGTATACTATTAATTAATTAATCAATCAGCCACAAAATTGTCAATCGTGTATTATTCTCGGCCTAAAAGCTAAACCTATTAATCCTAGATTGGTGTTTAGTTTGCAAGGGTGGGTAGTAGCGAAGTAGTTGTAGTTCGCTACTGTAGCGAACTACAATTTTCAAGTAGCCAGTAGTTTTTGACTACTTTTTTAAAACAGTAGCTGTAGTTATAGCGAACTACATTTTGCCTAAATGTAGCCAAGTAGTTGGCTACTTTTCAAACGGCGAATCGCTATTCGCTACTTTTTAAAATTGTTAGCAACTTGATAGAATAGCATGATATTGAGACACGGTCTGCTTAAAATCAATACTCAGTGGTCATTTTGCACTCCTTAACACTGTAGTGCTTCCAAAAATGTTGCTTTGTGTTTACTGTTGTCTGTTGCTACTCGTAAGTCGATTTGTTATAGGTTACGTTACAGCCTGAGTTAATAGTACATGCTCCAAATACAGTAAAACTAAAAAATATAGATTAGCGAAATAGCGAAATAGTTCGCTACATTTTTTAAGCAGTAGCTGTAGTCAGTAGCGAACTACATTTGTTCAAAAGTAGCAGTAGTTGTAGCTGACTACATATTTTTGAAGTAGCTGTAGTTATAGCGAACTACAAAAATTTTGTAGTCAACCCACCCTTGTTAGTTTGGCTTTTGCTGCTACTGAAACGACTTTTATATAATTATGTGATTACAGCTCGGAATTACAGTGGGTTAAAGATTTTCTCTGGATTCGATGTTTCACTATTTAGTATCGAGTAAAATCAACAAATAATTATGGGTCAAACGAGGATGAGAGTATTTTAAAGTTGAAACATAGTTGCAGAACACTCATCAAAGCTTTAATTTAATAATATTTTGTTCATCTGGAACTTGAAATGTCCTTTGTGTATTGATAAGCAATTCATGCATGACTTTCATCCTGATTTGATAGAGGCTATATAAATCTAAAATACCAGTTTAAAAACTTACATCATCAAATGAACCAGTGTTGCCAGTATGCCTGATTCAGGAGATGATTCTTGATTGGGCAAAGTTAAACTAGACTGGGCTACTAGCAAGTGATATGTCGCAGGATTTGAGCTAGTAGTGAACTGGATATTTCAATGTTGTGTGCACTTTTTTCATCGTTGCTGTTACTTTCAACTAGTACCTACATATACAAAAAATAAATAATCTTACATTCGTATCGTAAACGTGAGGCTATAAGAACATATTTTGAATAATTGATGTCCGCTGTCGTGATTTGGCCATCAGCAAACAACAGTCGTCGACACGAAGGTGAAGAAAGTAAATAACATTTGCCAGAATTAGGCTAGTACAGCACGAGACGTTTCTTGAACGTATTTTCCTAATAAATTGTTTATTTGTTCAAAATATACTGCAACGAACGAGGTTTTACGCTTGTATTTTATCCGTATCCCTCGTCGAAGCAAATCCCAACGGCCAAGTGGCCAACGTTCGATAATGGCGCCAAAAGTTAGTACGCATGCTCGAGAATGATTGCAAACCCGATTGCTTACGGGCGCGTGCATTCTCGTTCCCAGTTCCCGCGATCATTAATATTAATATTACACCTAGGCCTTATTGTATGATTACACGTTCAATTCTCGTGATTAATTTTTACAAATACCGTATTTATATTTACGATAATATTACTAAAAATCTGGAAAACAAATTTCAATACCCTTACAAAATGAAACATCAAATCTCACCTTGTATAAATTAATCCAAAAAACGTCCTCTTCTTTTTCTTTGCGAGCATGTGCTGATGTGCATTCTTTAAGTTTTATGCGGAAGTTAATTTGATACGATCATACGACGGACGATCGACACAATTAAGAGTCGATTTGACGGAAGGGTCGATTTGACACAATATTAATAGTCGATTTGACACAATTAAGAGTCGATTTGACAGAAGAGTCGAATTGACACATTTACGAGTCGATTTGACAGAAGGGTTGATTTGACACATTTAAGAGTCCATTTGACAAAAGGGTCAATTTGACACAATTAAGAGTCGATTTGACACAAGGGTCGATTTGACACATTTAAGAGTCGATTTGACAGAAGGGTCGATTTGACACAATTAAGAGTCGATTTGACAGAAGGGTCGTTTCGACAAAAGGGTCGATTTCATTCCAGGGTCGATTTGACCTATGCGAGAGTCGTTCCGCGATGGAGAGCCGAAACGAAGCTCATAGGGGCCAATGTGTTGATCAAAAGCGGCCGCTTTATGTGGGGCCAAAACAAACCCGGACGTGAGAGTCGTTTTGGTCTGTGGGGCCATATTGGCAATTGATGGGGCTAAATTGGAAAATGATGGGTCCGTTACGGCAAAGGGTAGGGCCAATTTGGCTTTCCTCCATACCTAAAATGGCTCCGTCGGTGCCGATCCAGCTCTCCAATGCCAAAATGGCTTTCACATAGGGCCAAAACAGCTTTGGCCCCAAAAGGGCTGAAAGGGAATTTTCTAACCTGAAAAGAAGGCCTGAACCCTATATGAATAATATCTGGCATTGGTCAGCCGGATACCAAATAATGAATTAAAATCTTAATATCCAGCCAGATACATGTATTAGTCTATTGCATCCTATGTCTTGAAATGCCAAACAAATTAACTTGTTAAATGACTGTATATTGATATTCAATATACTTAGCTAATATATGCACCCTTTTATTGTTAACCCTTTGAGCAGCAATGTGCCCAAGTGCACCCTACTTTGTTATTTTGCACTACCTAACACCAGACATTTTACTTTGTGAAATGCCAGACAATTTTACTCATGCTCACTAATGTTTATCCAAACTATCTGCCAATGTGCCTTGATAACCCATTAAGTCGAAATGCACCCAAATGGACCAGCCTTTGTTATTTTACTCTGTCAAACGCCAGACAATTTTAGTCATCAAGAAGAGAGTCCTGCATGCTAGTGGGTTAATTAAATTACTTAATTACATATGTTGTTATATATAAACTTAAGCTGTTAGATTGTCCCATTGTATATTAATTTTTTACTTATCTTGACACAGGCTTGTATGTTGGATCGATACGACTACCTGTAAATATGGTTAAACTTGGCTATGTGATTCAAAGGTTGTGGCTCACCGAGCGATAAAGAAAATGATACAGAGATGGAATGATTGGATGCAAGTTATTTACATTGTTTCATATGACAGGTATTCTGATTGTGGAAGATGTGGGGTTGCAATATTTTGACAATTGCATGGCTATAAAGTACGAGACAATTAATATAGTACTCCATTACTCTAATTGCCAGAACACAGCATCAGAATGAGAAGTCCGTTACAGTTCGGTTTAGTAAAAGTACATAGTAAAAGTACATAGCTATGTAAAATGTAATTTAGTCAGTGTCAAATACATATTTTGTCATGGATAAACTCTGTGCAAATGAGCATGTCTCTAATGTCATTTTACTTTTAATAAGAATATGTAGATGTGTTTTCTAGTACACCTTAGGTTTGCTGTTATATATAGCATCTTTTGTAGGTGTGTTATGTAACACACCTTAGTGTGTTATGAAACACGCCTTACAACGTGCTGTAAACATTACAGACCTGAATGGTGTGTTATACAGCACAGTTTTAGGTGTGTTTTAAAACACGCCATGGTGTGTATTATGAAAACACGCCATGGTGTGTACGAAAACACGCCATGGTGTGCTCAAAAACACACTTTTATTCAAAACACACCTTAAGGTGTGTTAAAATCTGGACAAGCCAAAAACACACCTTAAGGTGGGTTTTAGAACACACCTTAAGGTGTGTTTAACACACCTTAAGGTGTGTTAAACACACCTTAAGCTGTGTTACAAAGCACGCCAAAAGCTGTGTTAAACACACCTTAAGGTGTATTCTAAAACCCACCTCAAGGTGGGTTAAAATTTGGACAAAAAGGTGTGTTAAATTAACACACCTTTTTTTAGAGTGCGTGCACGCGTGTTTTCCAAAATCGGTGTAGGGTGTGTTATCTAACACATCAAGATGTGTTTTTGTAAATTAGTATGAGGTGTGTTCTCGAACACACCAAGGTGTGTTTTCATTCAAAAGGTGTGTTATTGAACACACCTTATATGCATCAAAGGTGTGTACGAAAAGGTGTGTAAAATACAGTGTGTTTCTTAGCACACCTAGGTGTGTTTTGTGACACACCATGGTGTGTTTTCTAATACATCATGGTGTGTTTTCTAACACACAAAGGTGTGTTTTCTAAAATTGTATAGGAAGGTGTGTAAAATGTACACACCTTGGTGTGTAATTAAACACAGCTTGGTGTGTAATTAAACACACCTTGGTGTGTAATTGAACACACCTGTTTTTAGAGTGTATAAATGTGAATCACGCTGTACCATGGTACAACGTCAATCCGCATGCGCTATTATACGACAATAACAA